AGCTGGATCAACGCCGTAGCGTTCTCGCCGGACGGCCAGGTCGTGGCATCGGCATCACACGACCGCACCGTCAGGCTCTGGGACTCGAAGACGGGAACTAACCAAAATGTTATTAATGTAGGTGAGGATATTAAGCACCTTAAGTTCTCCTTAAATGGATATTATCTGGATACGAATAGAGGAAGGATTAGTATTTATCCTACTAGCTCAAGTTTTTTACCACCACAGGTGTGTTCATCTGGTCCCTTCGTTCAACAAGACTGGGTATGTAATGATAAAATGGAAAAACTTATTTGGCTCCCGCCGGATTTTCGAGCACCCATAGAGGATTTCAGGGATGGTCTTCTTGTACTAGGTCATGCATCAGGCTTTATCACTTTGCTTGGGATTAAAGCTCTTACCTCCACCCCACCCACCTCCTCTTAAGTTGACCTTGTATTTATATTAAATTACAAAAGTTCGATTTGAAATTATAATATTATTATAATTCTGGTCCCGGCCCGCCTAGACTGTCACTCACTAACCAGCTCAGATGGTCAGTCACAAAGCCAGATGGACTAAACAAGTACTGTCCGCAAACGGTTAACCGGTTACGGCATGAAAAGCTGGTTGCAGCAACTGAATAAACTATAGTGACAAGATATGGCAGTATACGGTGTAGAATAGGACAAAGGTAACCTTGTGTTAAAGGGAGGTGGTCTTGTGAACGAGACTTTAATAGAGTCTATACTAGTAGATATGGAACTTAACAAGTCTAGGTCGTTGTTAACGGGAGTCTATACTCACCTCACTAAGACGGAACTTGGTAAGTCTAGAAACGCGCAAGGTTTCTCACTAACGTGATCCTCCCTTTGGATGGGGGGTTTAGCTAATGATAGAAAACGTAAATGTTTGCACTTCAAGTTAACGATATAACTTGCTAACTCCTTTCTTACGATTAGACCTGCCTCATTACATGTCCAACTTCTATATCCTGTGCTACAATCCCCCCAGGCCTTTTTTGAGGCTCCGTCGGCTGTACTCTGTGGACATCGAACAAATGTTCCCAGAAATCCTCTCTGGAAGAAAATAAGACAGCGGAACCTGAGTTATAAAAGCAGCGAGGATGAGGACAAGGAAAGGATAATACACGACTCCGTAGTTTTTCATTAATATGCGCGTCGATATACCTATGAAGAGTATGCACATCGGGAAACTGACGATATCGCTTCGCAGCTGCTCCTTTAGTCCCTATACAGAACGGACAGGTGCCGGCCTGAATAACTATACTATGAATTGTTATTACTCCGCAGAATAGTCCAAGGTTTTCCAGGTGTGAGTAACAGTGCGCCTCCCAGACTATTTTATTATCAACATATCCTGCGCAACTGTAGTAGAAGTACTGTCGATCCGGTATTGTTAAATCGTTCGGAACATAGTGCTTAGTTGTCAAGTGGGCAGCTAATTCATACCCGATGAACCCTTTTCCTTGACAGTTTTCCCAAAGATATACGTTCTGACAGGAATTCTTTAAGTGACCTGTTATATGTTTCGCGACCTCTTTTCCCGAACAGGCTTTGAGATCCTTGTCGCATTTCTTTCCGTCTCCCCACCTACACCAGGACACGTGAGCTCGTGTGATAAGGTCCAGTGCCTCTATCTTTTGGGCAATACGCTTTTGCCGAGCACATAAGAGTAAGTGCTTACTCTTTCGCGCTTTTCCAGCGCTATCATAGCTTGATTAGTTTTCGCGTGCTATTGGCGTGTAGGAGAGAAATTTCACCTTGCCAAATCCGTATCGCAGTTCGGACAATCACCCTTCTCATTAGGCTTCGCCTCAGGGTACCATACACCTCCGTATGAGGGAGAAGACATCAGTATCATCGGTTCGAGTATAGACCTCTCAGCAACAAGAGGAGCCCCGTTTAAGTTATATAAGACATCGATAAGCTTAGCCCGTTGAGGCTCGTATCTCAAAACTGTCTGCATAAGTATATGCTCCGTTCGTGAAGGGAGAAGTATATCCGAAGCTTCAATATCCCCATCAAACTGGTGGTCATCTTGAACCATATCCGACTAAGGGATGCAATTGAAATGGGCTGAACGAGCCTCACGGAATTGGTCTCGGCGCATGCGACTAATATCTGCACGCCTCCTTTCGGCGGTGGTCACGGTAGGTATCGCGATAGGCCTACGTCTCGGGGCCGTCAGGTCGGCGCCGTGGGGTGGTGGTGCGTTAACATCCCTCTCTAGAAGCATTGTTCTTGAGAAATCGAAAAGTTTTGCGCGCTGAGGCAAACCACGCATGATCGATTGGCCATCCACTACCGACTTTCGGGAAATATAGGCCTGAAAGGTGTTATCATTTGTATGTCCCATGCGTTATCTCCTTTGGGCTGTAGTTGCGGCTTGATCAAGCTTATTTGCGAAACCACGTCTAAAGTAGTACGCGGATATGGGGTCTTTATATCCTGCTCTTTCCCTAAGGGCTCGGAGTTGCCCTCCACAGCTTTTGTGTTTCAAAATCTGCGTCTCTGATATGAGGCCGGACGGTGTAACAGCTCGTACGATAGGAATATCCCTCATTTCAGGTTTAGCTTCTAAGGTAATTACGGCTCGGGAGGCCGGAACCTAGATCGTATTAAAGGCCGCTAGATCAGGAAGCGTAGAATAAGCTTGATCCGCAATCGCTAGAGCTAAGAAATGTGTGAAGACGCAAGTCGCTTTATCGGCCATTGGAGTTAGAGTAATCTCTAGGCTACTCAAGTTGTTAGCTCATAGGCATTTACGAACTATGTTTAGGACCTGGCAAGATTACCTATCTGGTTTGAACCTACGACCCTTCTGATTGCGAACTGCCACACTTATGGTCCAAATTGCTCCTTTGGACGCAGTCATAGACTTAGTGAGAGTGATGTCTTTGTAATGTAAACCCTTATTGCTCTCTGGCCAGCATCTCGACTCGATTAGTTCGCCAGGGCGGAGGCCTAAATCACTGAGTAGAAGAATTATAAAGTGAAGCTAGATCCGACAGCGAGGGTGTGCGTACTCGAAGGTATCGAATTTCCATGAATACTCGAGTAGATCCTTCGTGACGGGATACGATGCCACAGGTTTCGGTTGACATTTACTTGATGCCCCTAATCTTTCTCGAATATCTATGTGAATATAGTCGGTGATTAAGTCGATTTCTTTCCGTCCAAATTTATAGTTATGCTTAAGGAAAAGGAGTAGTTGTATCTCTCTCTATACCCTTTCTAAAGTACGGATGGTGACTTTCTATTCGATTTTGCCCCGAGTATTTCGAACCCAGAAATGTAGAAAAGCCTTTATTTGTGAAAGTGTAGGAACTTCCGAGAGAGGTACATCTACATGGCGCGTGTTCGGTAGATATTGAACAGCATATCTATTCTATATATCAGCTGTAGAAACTATAACTTAGAACAAGAATGTACTGTTAAAATCGACGGTGAAGAAGGTCGAACTTCTCCTTCAAGTAAGGACGAATAACGGGCTGTACGTTATCGTCGTTCGCAGCTTCCGTCCTGAGGATCTCGTTGATAAAATTATCCTCGTCGTCCATGTTAGGTAACACACTTGAGCAGATGAATAAAGATAAAGGAAGAAACGATAGAAAGGAGTAAAATAAAGAGAACTTCAACGGATATTATCAGAATATAAGGTAAGAAAGTTAAGGAGACGAGGAAACGCGATAGAGAGACACAGCGAGGGCGAAGTGGGCACCCCCATCCTTCCTAAGAATTGCTCTAGTTCCATGTATAGATTCTAGGCGCTGTTGGAAGAAAGTTAAAGCATTAGTGGCCTTACGCGGTTATTCTATGATTAATGTAAGAATGGAGTTTGAAGAATCGTGTAAAAAACTTATGAAATACGGGAAACTGAAAACTAAAAGGGGAGGAGGTTAGCGAAGAGCGAAGACCGGAGAATATGCGGCGTATGATTTGTTGGCGGGGTATAAGCTGCATAAAACTTGGAAAAAGACATGTCATCTCCGTTGTGGTCTAGTGGCTAGGATTTGTCGCTCTCATTCACCTCTAGTGATATAGTTCCGACAAGGCCGGGGTTCGATTCCCCGCAACGGAATCATTTTTTGCAAATTCACTACTCAGTCTTTTGATCATGGTAGCTTTCTCTTTTTGATTCTCATGTAAGAGAGGAAGGATGAGCAAGCGTGATTAGCTTGCTCAACATCTTTTGAGGCTTTGACCGCGGTGTTGGGTTATATTTTATCCAATTAATAGTCTATTGTTTATCCACGGTGATCGCTGGGATAACGGAACTTAATTTTACTATTTCTCATTTATCTGTGTGCAAAAGAAACCAATACATGAAGTAACCAGTACCTAACCTATATCTATAAACCTGAGTAATCCAATCCAGAAATGGAAGTAATCTCTATATTAACTTTTCAGGTTTGTCAACTGCTCACTCCTCCCCTCACTGGAAGTCACCGCTATAGCAAACAGCAGCCGATTTTCTATGAGTCGTTAGCGCATCTTACAGACACGGTTCAGCTGAAAAATACACCCCATTAATCATCCAAGAGGTTCTCTTTTCCGACATAAGATTGGCTCATATTTGAAACGAAGACATAATGAGACGGGTACGCTAACGACTCGTAGAAAAACGAGTGCTAAGCCAGTGTACGATACGAACAAAGAACCGAGTACATTTAATAGGAAGACCAAAGTAACAGGATATTGCAAGCGATGAATAAAATAGACAGCACGAGTTTCCTCTGGAATACACCACGAATGAACCACTACCCGCTTCCGACCGTGATACCGATCACTTCTCTCCATCCCATATCACGCTTCCGTACAGATTAGGAGAGAAAAGATACACCGGATGGACTGATAAGAACAAAGGGAAACTACGACCTGAGAGAGCTAGCAGTCAATTTCACAATGAGATGACCTGAGAAATTCCCAGAGGCACGTATATCCATTCCTTTGATGATTAAGAAAAGAGACAAAGATCTGGCCCTTTTCATAAGATGCACACAATCCGATTCTGCCGCTCATTCATTCAATAACATCATACGATGCAGATCAACCTGGATAGAGAACGCCCATCAACCCCTATACTCCTACCATAAACATGAGCATGGCGTCCAAAGTAGCGCACCGGAACAGTAGAAAACGCCCCATGTACTGTACGGAAAGTCTTCAGCGGCCTCAAGACTTGGCTCCAGGATGAGGACGTCCCTAACGTAGGCAGATGAGCATGGTGCCAATCACGTGCAGACGAAAAGGATTCCTCTTCTACTTCGAACCATTACCAACTTTGATCAGACGACTATAAAAAACGAACCAGATTAGTAACGCTTAGGATACAGGAACTGTGCAACAACAGAAAAGATTCGCGGGACGCTCGGGATATCGTATAGTACACTCTCCTTGGATCCATGGCAAGGGATCTAAAGTGTACTTCGCATCGAGGATAAGTCCATAAAATAATGTTGAAACGTTTCACGGTGGTAGGATACTATTATACAATCGGTCGATGTTGGTCCTACCTGACAACAAGCGTCAACTTCGGGTTTCTCTCCATTGCGATTTCTAGGTCTTGGTCGTCCGTAAGTGTAAAGTATTGGTTCTCCATCTCATCCCTGTACTCGACTACCAGGGCCCTTCCATTATGATGCGGCTCTTCCATATTACGGCGCTCGATAAGCTTCTTGTAGAGGTCATTGTAGTTAAAGTTTGCAGGCATGCGAATGATGACACAGTTCTCTTCGCTAAACCAAACCTTGATCTTAGTGGTACTCTGCGCGGACTGGGAAGAGTTCTGTGTCAGAGTGCTTGATTGGGGTTGGAATGCAGGTGTGCTGAAGCTGGAGTGACCATTGTACGGCTGAGAGGTTCCAATGGTAGGGTGATTGAGCATAGTGGAAGACTCGGTGTAATGTTGGTCTGGAGGCAGGTTTCCTTGAGGAGTCATATCTTGCGAGGCTCCGCGATAGGACGGGAATGATGCGTTGGAGTCACGGAAATTATTCCCAGCGTCCACATTTGGATCGATTTCGTAATCCGATTCACGGGGCTTGAAGAAATTTCTCACGTGGACTGAATTGGCGATATGCAAGCCCAACTCCAATAACTTTTCGATGTACTCGTTCAGAGTTCCGCGACGGCCCTTGGAGATAGCATCGGTGACATAGGTAACAGGTCCTGGCATATAAGGGAGCGTACGTATCGTTCCCTCAATGGCGCCAGCTTCTACGGGAAAGCTCTGAATCAATAGGATCTGAAGATCATAAAAGTCTTGATAGACTCGGGAGAGCGCCCAGTAGCTGCCGTCCGACATCTGACACTCCACGATGAACCAAAATATGTCTTCTGCAAAATAGTATTGAGGCACTGACGCCTTGACGGGATAGGCGGGTTGCGAAGGGGTGACCTTGCGGAGATCGATAGCCCCGTCCTTCAACCGTTGGGCATCCTCCTTCCACTTTTCGATCGTGCGAAGGCCAACTTGTCGTATAAACTCAGCGCGATCGGCGTCAGGAACAGGAACACCTTGTTTGTCCCAGATCTCCACATATGAAGAAGGTACCAGTCCCGGTCCGCCACCGCCGAATGTCGTTTTACATAAAAACCATTCTGGATCGGATTGCGCCTCAGCTATAAGCACATCTCCTTCGCTGGCCTCCAACTCGTCTGATCGTTCCGCTTTGAAATTATACAAGAGTTTGACCGCAATGTGCGGCTTTGCAGGCGGTTTTTCCGGCTCGATACCTTGTATACCCGAATCATGGCTGACTGTGAGCTTTGCAGGAAAAGTATTCGAATCTCGACTATCCCTAGTAGCAGTTTTCGGGACATCTTCGAAGTATCTCGCCGGGACGAGACCCCGTTTTCCATTCTCGTTATACACCTCGTACCAACTGTCATCATTTTCACGACCGATTACGGAAAGAAATTCTCCTTTCGTGAACGACAGATAGCCGTCGGAGTCTGGAGGAGCGTAATCATATCGTGCCCGAATAATCTGTGAATATACGTTAGGAACTCCAGGTCCTATTATGGCGCAAATACTTTTCCACTGAACGTCGTACCTTTTTTGGGGCTAATTTGGCCGTAATGTCTTTCGTGGTAATCGAATTATGGCGTGATCCTTCTCCTTGTATCTTCGAAGTCCTCGACTTCCTCGAGAACTGATAATCTCAGTCAACTTATTTTACTTCAGAGAACAGTTGCGCAAGGAAAGAGTACACACCTTGATCATTTTGTCGTTGTGTACACAATCGCTTTTGAGAAGTCTGTCGAAGTAATTTATACCTTCTACCAGAGCGCGCACGCGTTGTTGTCGTTTGTATGATTCTAATGTAGGTAAATCCGAATATGCAAACCGTCGTAAGGTAATCCCTCGCAAGCTTTGCGTTGTAGCAAAATAGTCCTGCTTCACGTTCACTTCAAGCGCGCCGTGCCGCACGAATGTCGCTGGGAGCAGAATTCCGGTATAGGGGACGTTCAATGGAATGTAAAGGTCAAGGAAATGCGATCGAGGAGCCTTCAGCGTCCGCAGTGTAGAAGCACCGAGCTTTATCAACGTTCAGATGGGGAAATGAGAGGAGGTGTTATGGTCAAGAAAAGATGAGGGGTCTGTCTGCGAACCCTGCGAGCCAGCCCTAGAAGGAGAATACCAAGGGTGGAAGACTCGTGGTTGCCACACTAATGGCTGACTAGATTCACTGGAAAGGCGAACAAGACGTGCTTCAATTGTGTGCCCCACACGTTAACTGCTTATCAAACGTTCTCGCTGATCTGGAAGGGGGTGTGATGGAGAAGTTTTGAAGGCTTGTTGAAGAATTTCGTCTCTACTGTATCCGGTTCGCACGGCGGAATCGTCTTTTTGCTAAAGGTCAAACGACAATCCCAGCAACAAGGACGTTGGGACGGGGATCTATCGATAAAGCAAACCTAACGAACGGGGCAGTTGGCAGTTGGCAGTTGCGAGACGATGTCAGTGTGGGACATTCTCTTGTCATATACTGTCATTTATTATTGGGCTCCACCTTAAGGATACCATCATACACAGAGTTACGTGTGATGGTTATGCGCGTTGGGCTGTTTCCAAAGGAAGGGGTCAAATCCGCAATCCTTGGGCCGGATCTCGATCACTTCTCTCTAGAACTACAGTACACAGCGCTCCACCTCATACGGTTACTCCAGCTGATCGGAATGCAGTAGTAAAACAGTAAAGAACTGTTAGCCATGGCTCTTACGATCTACTACTGCGTTTAGGTTTGCGGAAAACGTGGTAAAAGAAAGTGTAAAGACCGTCATAGACTTGACCCAAAGCAGTGGGTTTGAACGACTCTTTGTCAATTTGTCTCATTGTTGTATAGTTCTCCATTCTGCTCTAATTCCAAATCGTAGTCGAAACGTCTCATAATTTGCTTTCAATTTCGCAACTCTTAACGCGTACTCTCCCATACTCCATATGCTCCATGAATATACATTGGGTAGGAATAACATAGAAGGAAGAAATGGGCAGTTTTACAAGGCACTAAGGGGACACCCGAGCGCCCAAAGGGGCCTAAAAGGTAGTTCTACCTCACAGACTCACAGTGTAGACGGTAGGGTTTTGGAAGACGCTGAATCCCATAACTCTTATTCGGGATTGTAAATAAGTACCTTAATATCATACCCAAGACAAGTATATAGTACGTTCAACACTGCATTACCGGTTTCGGCGCGCGGTATCGGTAACTTTAACTCTACTACGATCCACAAAATATCACGCTGAAGACGGAAACATGAAAGCGTAGGAAGAACACAAATCACTTCACAAGCAAGATGTTTGCATGGTGAAATTGTACTTTTGGTCCTGCAGCTCGATCACTATCACAAGAATATTAATCCATCTCGCGATTGTCAGTCGTCGTCACAGACTCCGGCTTAAACGGTAGTTCTACGAATCAAACGTGAAAGACAAGTGCTGAACATTCAATTGTTCATTTCTGTCGCACGCAAACTAGATTTTTATGAGTTACACGAATGAAAAGCAAATGTTGAGGAACATGCCACGGAGAAAGCAAGACTAATACATCCGGGCGTTGTCCAGAAAGAAGACTG